AGAGGACGACGTCAAAGTCGGCAAGGGTGGCTTCAGGGTCGTCACCCATGTTGGCCACGCATGGATCCGCAACAGAGGAGCTGATGGGATGGGGGATCTCTACTACGCAATCGCTGGGTGGCAGCGAAGAAGCGCTGAGATAAAGAAACAACATATTCCCGTGGCCTCCTCACTTTTCTCAAATATGCCCTGGGACAACAACATGTTGGTGCCCCTCCTAGGTCTGCAGCCTTCCTGACGCATGATCTCACCAATCTCAAGCATATGAAGAAGCGAGGGGCAACACCGTGGCTGGTAAAACAAATGGTTGGGACTCGGGCGTGCATGAGCCTGCAAGAGAAGACTCAGAGCGAGGTGAGGAGTAGCTCTGTTAACACGCCTTCTCTTTCCCTGCCACTGAGCGTCCCCCTCCCCCAGAACTTCAACTCGGTTTTAACAGTGCGCCCGCCGTTGTTGAAATCGCCCCTGAGCTGCCGCTGGCAGGCGCTGAAGTTCGGCGACGCAAGATTGCGGAATTTCATGCTGACATGCCCATCTCCAATCATCCCCATCTACTTGTCGGGCGGCCTGCCCAAGGGCACCACGACGAAACCTAAGCTGGTTGAGTCCAACTTGAGTTTGATTGTATTGAACATGTGCAACATTCCTTAAGCGCAGCACAACGTTCATGTGCATGGGGGGGGGGGTGCGACAGGGAACTCCGAGCTCGTGCACATGTTGTTGGGTTCCTTCTATCTCGAGCTCAGATCTCTTGGTCGTGGGAGAAATCACCGGCTACTATCTGGCACGGGGGGAGGGGGAGCTGATGAACTGGGGTCCAGAAATCCTGGCTTCGGGAAATTCGGTGCGGTTGTCGGGACACCCCGCATTGTCTGCTACCGGCCTGAACCGTTCGTCTGTGCTCTCTCTGTCCCTGCATTTCCGCGGGGACGCCCTGAAACGAACGACTCCCCCCAGGCCTGCAAACGCTTCAGGACGCGATGGACAAGCGCAAGCAAGCGGTTGGGCGCGTGGAGCCCCTGCATGCGCACAGGGCAACTTCTACCTAAGACAATGGCCTCTGGTTGCTCGTGGTGTCTGCGCAGCTTGTTGCGGCGCGTGCTGATGGTGCGCCTGGAAGGAGAGCGGAAGCCACGCGAACAGCACAGACGCAGCTTCTCGCCTTTCTTTGCCTGGGAGTTTGATCCGCCGCGCCTTTACCAATGGTGCAAAGTCATTTTGGGTTCCGCCTGGCAAGGTTGTTTACCAATCTCTGGCGCGCCGTGTCTTTGAGACATCCTTTTGCGGCAGAACTTCGTGAACCGCTCGAGGTCCTCGTCAAGCATCGGAGGCAGATGCGCGGGAGCCCCGCCCCACCGCGGCCTGTCGCTTCCGCTGCTGACCGCGGTGGGGCTGCATCACATCTCCTCTGAACCATTTTGGTTGTTATGTGTGAGAGAACGCGTTTCGTGGACGCTGTCCTGGAAAATCACCTTGACACGTTGGAGCCCAGCCCCCCCGATTTGCAAGGGGGGAAGGTTCGAACCAAGCCCCCCTCCCTCCCCCGTCCAACGGGGAGGTGTATTCGAACCCGGAGGGGAGGCCCCGCCTGAGATGCAGGGCTGGGGGGGCTCGAACAGGGCCCCCCCCCGTGAGTTGTAAGGAGGGGCCCCTCCCCCAACTGTGCGCGTCGTCGTCGTCGTTGTCGTCGTCGTTGTCCTCGTCGTAGTCGTCGCGCAAAACAGCACTCATCAGACAGCAAAAACTGTTTCATCTTGGTGTTGCTTGTCATATTTACCGAATTTATAGAACGTACCAGCATGGCCTTCGGCGTCAACTGTGCCATAATCCACCAACGTGCCAGCATTGACATCTGCACCAACTCCGTTCTGTCTTAATTCTCAATCTTGTAAACTGAACTGCAGCGTGGACTGCACGCTGGGAGAAGCGGCGGATTATGTGTGTTTTGTGTTCTTCAAGTGCGAACTCGGTCTAGCAGCCAATTTGGCAGGCCTGGGTAATTTACAAAGGATGTTGACGTCATTCAGAGCAGCGTGGGTACGTCGGGCACGCGCAGCGCATCCAATGATATTGGTCACGTTCTTGATTTGCAGGGGAGAGAGGCTCGAACCAGGGAGGCCCCCCCCCTGAGCGCGTCGTCGTCGCCGACGCAGGTCGCCGTCGCAGTCGCCGTCGCCGTCGCCATTGCCGTCGCCGTCGCCGTCGCCGCCGCCGTCGCCGTCGCCGCCGCCGCCGTGGACGTCGCCGCCGTCGTCGCCTTCACCGTCGCTGTCGCCGTCGCCGTCGCCGCCGTCGCCGTCCCCGTCGCCGTGGCCGTCGCTGTCGCATTCGCTGTAGCGCTCGCCATCACCGTCGCCGTTGTTGTCGTCGTCATCGTCATCGTCGTCATCGTCGTCGTCGTCGCCGCCATCGTCGCCGTCGCCGTCGCCGTCGCCGTCGCCGCCGTCGCCGTGGCCGTCGCCGTCGTCGTCGCCTTCACCGTCGCCGCCGCCGTCGCCGTCGCCGCCGTTTCCGTCGCCGTCGCCGTCGCCGACGCCGTCGCCGTTGCTGTCGCATTCGCTATAGCGCTCGCCATCGCCGTCGTCGTGGCCGTCATCGTCGTCGTCGTTGTCATGGTCGTCGTCGTTGTCGCTGCCCGACGGCGCCTGCGCCGGCGCCCGCCGTCGTGGGGGTGCATGGGGGCGGGCCCCCCACGGTACGAAAACCCCCCCCTGCAATTCAGGGAGGGGGGCCTTGTGACCGTCGTCGTCGTCGTCGCCGTCGCCTTCGTTGTCGCCATCGCCGCCGCCGTCGCCGACGCCGTGGCCGTCGCCGCCGCTGTCGCCGTCGCCGTCGCCGTCGCCATTGTCGTCGTCGTCGTTGTCGTTGTCGTCGCCGTCGCCGTCGCCGTCGCCGTCGCCATCGTCATCGTTATCGTTGTTGTTGTCGATGTCGTCGTCGTCGTCGTCGTCGTCGTCGTCCGTCGTCGTCGTCGCTGACCGACGGCGCCGGCGCTGGCGCCAGCGCCAAGGGGTGGGGGCCCCCCTCTGCGCGTCGTCGTCGTCGTTGCCGTTGCCATCGCCGTCACAGCCGTCGCCGTCGCCGTCGCCGTCGCCGTCGCTGTCGCCGTCGCCGTCACCGTCTCCATCGCATTCGTCGTCGCCGTCACCATCACCGTCGTCGTCGTCGTCGTCGTCGTCGTCGTCGTCGTCGTCGTCGTCGTCGTCGTCGTTGTCGTCTTCGTCGTCGTCGTCGTCGACGTCGTCATCGTCGTCGTCGCCGTCGCCGTCATCGCCTCCGCTGCCCGACGGCGCCGGCGCCGGAGCCGGCGCCGTCGCCGTGGCCGTCGCCGTCGCCGTCGCCGTCGTGGTCGTCGTCGTCGTCGTCGTCGTCGTCGTCGTCGTCGTCGTCGTCGCTACCCGACAGCGGCGGCGCCGTCGCTAGCGCTCGCCGTCGTCAGTTGCAAGGGGGGTGGGCCCCGTCCCGGTTCGAACCCTCCTCCCCCCCTTGCAACTCAGGGGGCCCGTTCGACCCTACATACCCTCCCTTGCATCTGCCCTCCCTCCTGGTTCGAACCCCGCTCCCCCTTGGACAGAGGGCGGGGGAGGCCTGCTCGACCCCCCCCCAACCCCCTGGACAAGCGAGGGCCCGCCTTCGGTTGGACCCCCCCCCCCCCTGCAACTCAGGGGGGAGCCCCCCGCCCGGTTCGAACCCCCCCCCCTTGATGGGAGGCGGCCCCCCCATGTTCGAACTTCCCCCCCTAGCATCTCAGGGAGGGGGGGCCCCTTCGCAGTTCGACCACCACCCCTCCTTCCCAGCGTCCGCAGAACGCGGTCTTCCTTATATGGAGAGTGTGTCTGTGCTGTTTAGCAAGCCATCGCTGTACGGTTGGTTTGTGTATGTACGTAGAGATATGGCGCCACATGTTCAACATCAATTTCATCGTGTGTCTTGAACTGTGGCAGCGCATCGAGCAAAACTGCGGGCGGCATGTGGCCAACAAACAAACGCCATCGACACCCACCCGTCCGTGTTTTCAACTATGTGATGCTCATGTGCGCGTGCTGCCTCCAGCCTGGCTTGCAAAATACTCCCTTTACTGATAGCAGCGTGAACAATTGAGTCCGAGTGTAGCAAGCCATGGCTTGAAGGGGCGTATTGCATTCTGCCACCGTCCTTCCAATACAAGCAACAAAAAACTGTTCCACCTTGGTGTTGCTTGTCAGATCTACCAAGTTCATATAACGTGCCAGCGCCGCCTTCGGTGTCAACTGTGCCATCGTGAACCAACGTGCCAACGTTGGCCACTGAACGAACTTTGTCTTAATTCTTAAGTTTGTCAACTGCACTTCAGCGTGGCCTGCAACCTTGGAGAAGTGACGGATTCTGTTAAATTCTAGGTAGCTGAAGCGGAACAAGTATCTTGCAAATCTGAGTATGAGCTCCCGGTCGTTGTTCTCCAAACGCGAAGACGGTTCAGCAGTCCATTCGACGGGCCTGGCTCATGTACAACAAGGAAGTTGACGCCATTTCGAGCAATGTGGGTGCGTCGCGCACGCGCTGCGTTGCCAATGGTATCGATCAATCGATCATGTTCTTGACATGCACGCCCCAAAGGAGGAGAAACAATACTTGCGTTAGGTCGGGAGGGTCCCCCTACAGGCGGAGATTTGGTGAAACAGTCAGAAATAGTCAAACGTGCCAAAAGCATGCCCCAACAATTTTAAGAACATCGTCCCCAGAGTATGCATTTTACTATGTTTGAACATTCCTCCACTAAAGGGACAGGCCCGACGTAATACTTGCGCGTTCTGTCGGGCGTGTCCCCCTACAGGGGGATTTTCGACGAAAAAAACAAAATAATCAAAAGATCGTCCAAAAATAGCCTGGGGACTACTTTTTGAATATGTTTTGACCTTCGTGGGGTATTTTTTGGGACATTTTTTATCGTTCGTCGAACATCCCGCCACTTGCGTAATACTTGCGATAATCATAACGACGTAAATCGTCGAAATCCCGCTGCTACAAGCCCGACGTACTTTTTGTTTTTCGTCGAAATCCCACTACTACAGGCCCGACGTAATACTTGCGAGAAAGCGCCACGAGCGAGCCATGGCCCCGAGCTGCGCGCTCACACCGGCCTCGGCTCGCGGGCCGGGCTCCGTGGGAGGGCGGGCCCGCCGCGCCCCGCGGCCGCCCGAGGCCCGCCGCGCGCGAACACCGGCGGGGGGGGGGGGCAGGCGCTGTTGTTCCTCGTCCTCCTCCTCCTCCTCCACCTCCTCCTCCTCCACCTCCTCCTCCTCCACCTCCTCCTCCTCCACCTCCTCCTCCTCCACCTTCTCCTCCTCCTCCTCCTCCTCCACCTCCTCCTCCTCCTCCTCCTCCACCTCCTCCTCCTCCTCCGCCTCCTCAGACTGCTCGCTACAGAGTAGCATCCATGTTCCCCCTCCCTCCCTCTGCTTCGCTCCCTGCCCTGCTCCCCCTGCCTCCTCCCTCCCCCTCCTGCGACAGCCGAAAGGTCAAAACCAAACGCGTTCGCCGAACTTTGCCGAAATCGCGAAGCCAAAAATGTCCAGCTCCGTCCTCCACACCAAGCCTCGTCCTCCACCTCCTTCTCCTCATCCTCCTCCTCCTTCTCAAACCCCACCTCCTCCTTCCAACCTCCCCCCCTCATCCCAACCTCCTCCTCCTCCTCCTCCTCATGATCCTCCTCCTCCTCCTCCTCCTCTCCTCCTCATCGCCCTCCTCCTCCTCCTCCTCCTCCTCATCCTCCTCATCGCCCTCCTCCTCCTCCTCCTCCTCCTCCTCCTCCTCCTCCTTCCAACCTCCCCCCCTCCTCCCAACCTCCTCCTCCTCCTCCTCCTCCTTTGCCTGCGCCTCCCTTCCCCCTCCGAACCTCCTCTTCCCCGGGGAGCGGCGGGGCCGGGGCGCGCGCAGAGGCAAGGGAACTCCTGCGGCCGCCACCGTCTGCGGGGCACGTGTCGACGCCACGTGCATGGCCTCGAGCGGGCCGCCGCGGGCGGCGCTGCAGGGAGGAGCACGAGCCTGTTTTCGCGGGGGGGGGGGGGGGGGAGGTCCGCTCGGGTGCTGCTGGAAGTACCCCTGGCCCGAGGTGCCCCTAGGATTCTCGGGAGGGCCCCGACGGCCTCCAGAGCACCCCCTCGCGAAGTCCAGAGGGCCCCAGGGCCCTCAGAATGGAGCGAAAAGCCGGGGGCACCTTGGGCCAGGGACACTTCTAGCAACACACGATCCTGACTACATACCAGACCACCCCAACCCAACCCGAAGACCCAAATTTCGGGTTGGGGGTTGGGGGGGGTATGGGTTCCATACGTGGTTCTTCGATGTTCCCCGACCCCCCCCCCCCACTGGAAATGGAGGGCACATGGAGGCCTTCGGGTTGGGTTGGGGTGGTTTGGTGGGTGGTGAGATCCGTGGTCCGAGGCTTCCGGACGTCTTCGCAATGTCTCTGCAGCTCCAGCCTGAGGATGCGCTCCGGCGGCTGCGCCTCGTCGAGAGCGTTCCGGGGGCGTGCACATCGTCCCGGGCCCGCCGCCGGAGAGCCGAGCTACAGCCCGAAAGCCACGGGGCAGCGTTAGGGGAGGGTTAGGGGAGGGCGTGAGCATGACGACAGAGCGGATAGGATGTAGGAGGAGGAGGAGGAGGAGGAGGAGGAGGAGGATCCCACGCCACTGAGGAGGAGGAGGAGGAGGAGGAGGAGGAGGGCGATGAGGAAGAGGAGGAGAGAGGAGGAGGAGGAGGAGGAGGAGGAGGTGAGGAGGAGGAGGAGGAGGGAGGGAGGAGGAGGAGAGCGAGGAGGGGGAGCAAGAGAAGGACGAGGCGGAGGAGAAGGAAGAGGAGGAATAGGAATGGGAACAGGTTCGAAGACGATGTCCTACTATTGTGAAAAAAAGATGGCTTGCCTGCCTCACATGCGCATATCGATGACCAAGTCCTTGCCCGCCGAAATGGCGCCCGAGGGAACGACATGGACGCCGCTTGTAGCGTTGACCGCCGTATGTACCCAGGCTCCGTAGCGTTCCCATTCGGGTATTACTAAGCCAAGCAACCCAACACTGCACGCCCTCAGCTCTCCCACGAATGCCAGCCCAGAGGAAACGGCCAACCCTCAGTTGAATGCAACAAACCAAATGACCCACACCGAATCCGCAGTGCATTGGTAATCATAGAATGTGGTACTGCGTTGGCATTGCGGCGGACACCAAGTGAGCAACAAAAACAGACAAGCTGTGAAACATCTCTTGTCGAAGAGCAACCACATCCTCTGGCCTTTTATCGTTTTGAGAAACTGCCACTTGCTTTCGCTCGAAGGGAACTCAATCTAGCAACTCTCAGTAGATGCGCCTACCGCGAAAACCTTTTGCCAGCTAACCATCCGCAACCAAAAACCCAGCCACCAACAAGTCCCAGCCAACTCAGCCTGAAGTACTGCTTACTCTCCAAGGGCGCAGCCATCAACGCAGATCGCTCCCCTCTCAGTCACTGGCACTCTGAAAAGGCTGGGCGCGCTGGCGTCCGAAACCGCTGAACCTCCGGCAGACATGGGAGCACCCGCGTCTCCGCCAGCCGAGCCAGCACCATCGCCTACACGTCCATTCTCGATGTTGTTGCCCTGCGCCCCTGGCGGACGAAGTCTCTCCACGACGTTCCTGATCGACGCCTCATCCTGTTCCGTCTTGAAGTGCGCCTCGTCTACCTTAGCATTCAGGGTTGTGGTGTGACTGGTCAAGAGGCTGTTGGTGTGCAAGTTCATCGCACGAAGGAGTCATCTCTCGCGGGCGGTGGGGTCCTCCTCCGCCGCACCAGGAAGTGCAAGTGGTCCTGATCGCGATCGCGAAGCAGCGGCGGCAAGGGCGGCCCTGGCCAGCAGGGCAAGCGAGACGTTCTGCGCCGACGCAAGCTTGCGCCAAGCGGACACAGCACCCGATTGCACGAAGAGCCCTTCCAGGCTCCGCTCAAGATAGCCTCGGGTCGCAATCAAAGAGCCTCGGGAAACGAGACGGCTGGCATCCTGCGCACGCGGGCTCTCCCAAACCATGGCAGTAAGCACTAGAATGGCGAAACGAATTCTAGAACGCTCTAGAACGCAAAACCAAGCCCTACGATGAATATGCTTAACATGGCAAGCAGGACAGACATACCGATGCTACGTCAAAACCAACTTTAGAACAATGAGCGAACTCAATAACATTGAAAACATATGAGAAATCGGGGTCCACCTGTTGGGCACCAGTCGCGCGCTCGTTCGGGCGGCGGCGCACGCCCGAGCATTGAAGCAAGCATGTCAGACCATGGGACATTGGAAAAGTGAATAAGGCTAACGAGTCTCTTCGCTAGATCTTACCATGAGAACCCGAAGTGCCATCAACGCTGCGCGTAAACACATGCCGATACACAACATGCGGTTCATCCCGAAAGTCACAAGACCACTCGGCCAATGAATGTTCGATGGCCCAACTCCCACATGAATTCCACCCTACACACATACGGCCACAACTGCATCGACATTATCGCACATTGGCGGACAGGAACGCCGACATCTACACAACCGGGTGCCCCTTATGTGCATCACAATCCTCGACCTCGACGACAACAACTGTGACAAGACCGAGGAGCAGTACACTCGTAGCTACATCACTGACCGGCGCATGCCCTCACCCTCCAGATGCTGCGCCGTCGCCGCCAGCGACGCGCCCCCACGCGACGCGGGAATCGTGACTACCTACCAGACCACCCCAACCCAACCCGAAGACCCGAATTTCGGGCTGGGGGGGGTAAGGGTTCCACTCGTGTTTTTTCGATGTTTCCCGACCCCCCCCCACTGGAAATCGAGGGTAAATCTGAGCCTTCGGGTTGGGTTGGGGTGGTTTGGTGGGTGGTGAAATCGGTCGCAGTGGGCGCACAACCAGGGGGGGCGGAGGTCAACGTCCGCGGCCGCGGACAGGACCCTCCTCTCGAGCGGCACCCTCCAGGCGGGCCCCGAGGCCCGAGGCGCGGCGCCACCGGACCTCACTGGCTCCGCATGCAGGCGCCAGCCTGCGCTGCCGGGCGCTCGACAACGTCTGTAAGCTCTGATCTGGCACCCACGCCGACAGGTGCACCAGCGCATTTAGGGGGAAAACAAACCTACCTCGCTTTTGACCACCCTCGCTTCCAAGAGATACCAAACGATGCCAAATTGCAGCCTGTACTGGTCAGGCCGCTTGACGAGGAGGCGCGTGGTATGACTTGGTTTTGCCTGGAAGCGAAAGCGGGGTAGGTAATTCACGCTCTGCGCATTTGCCAGCGGCTAACCCCTGCCGCCACGCCGGGAGGTGCACCGACGGCTTCACCCACGAGGGCAGCGACAGCTGCATCGACGACGGTGCCGACGGGAACGACAACATCTGCGCAAGCAAATGCGCCCACGCTGGTCTTCAAATCATGCTGCAATATCTGCACCGACAGCAACTACGGCCTTTGCCATATGCTCTGGCAACCACAACGACAGGTGCAACGACAACTACACCGACGGGCACGCCAACGGCCACGCCGACTGGTGCACCGATGGCTGTACCAAGAAGCGCGGCCGGTGCTGCATCGACAGGAGCACCGGCAGAGACGCTGACAGTTGCGCCTGCACGCGCACACAACGTGCACACACACACACTAGTGTCGCGGACTCAGCGCTCGCGCAACTCGAAAGAGTTAGGTGTGGATGCCATAAAGACAATTCCCTCGAGGAGAGGGCGAGGGGGGGAGACGGCTGCAGAGAGGGGAAACTGCAGGAAAGGCACTCAGGACAATATTCGGCTACTCCGAAGGGTGTGGTTTGCAAAAGGCGTGGTTTGCAACCGGCACCCTGGGGGGCGGGCGAGGACCTCGACAGAGCTCTCCACCGCGCCCCGAAGAGGCCCGACGAGGGCAACGTCGTGCCCCCCCCCACAAGCGCCCCAACGACGCAAGTCGCAAACCACACCATGGCGTGACCACACCCTGTGTAGTCGCCGAAAGATGGACTTGTCTGGGTGCTGGTGCAACGGCCCGGGCTCCGAACGGAGTCTTGCGCGAACACGCACACATAACACACTTACACCAAGATGTCCTTGTCTGCGCCAGCAGATTTGACAAAGACCTCCGACCCGACATCTGCTCTGGCAGTCACGCCGACACGTGTACCGACGCGTTCGCCGAAGCCTGACCCAGCGGCTGCGCCATCAGCCTTCGACATAGCATGGTTGACCACGTGTGACAGCACGACAAGCGCAGCAGCACGAGCCGCCTACATACGACAAGGTCCTGCCTATCCAGGGAGCAGGGAGGGATGGGAGGAGGGGGCGGAGGAAGGAGGGGGGCAGGAGGAAGAGGAGCAACCTACCCAGGGACCGGGAAATCCAGCAAAGTAACAACCGACTTAAATGACGTCTTGAGCACTGGAAGATGATGGACTGGGCGTTGTGCCTCGCGTGTCGACACGACGGCCTGTTCGCAAGTGCGCAGCCGGCGGCGCTGCCTCCCTGGCCACACTCTGGTGAATGAGTTCGGTCATGACAGCTTGGGGTCGGTGTGGCGTTGTTCGTTTGTTCGGAAGCGCTCCCGAGCGATGCTAAATCATGTTTGTGGGTGATCAGTTCTTGGCGCACGGCGTATTCCCACCAGCCCGTCCAAAAAAAACACCAGGCGGGCTGCACTGACCAGTGCGGTGACGCTCCGGGAGCCTCATGGAAGCCATCGTGGGGTCACGAGGCCCTCTTGGGGCCAGCTTGGGAGCCGTGTGGGCCCTCGTGAGCTCTCCTGGGGCCGGATGGCCTCGTGAGCTCTCCTGGGGCCCTTCTGGTGGCCTTGAAGGGGCCTCTTGGGGCTATCTTGGAGGCCATCAATCAAAGAGACGGGGTGGACCGAGCACGCAGTTTTGGGCCCCTCTTGTGCGAGGCGGGGATTCATCCGTATCCACCGCCTGGCAACCGACGTCCTGGTACCCCAGCGGGCGGTGGATATGGATATATTGCGGCCCCCAGAGGCCCGAATATGTCCATATCCACCGCCTGCCGAGGCTCCGAAAACTGACCCTCCAGACGGTGGATATGGATAAATTCCCGCCTCGGATCTTGGGGCTCGCTTGAGCCATCTTGGAACCACCTTGAAGTCTCGAGAGCCAGTCGGAAGCGAAAATGCGACACATTATAATTACTCTGACGGTAAGACCCCACATGAGAATCTGTTTAGCTTACCCTTAGCCCTTCCCCCGTCGCCCTGGCGGACATCCTCCTCTCGCCCTGAGCTCTGCTCTATCCTCTTCCTCCTCCTTTTTATCGATCCTCCTCCTCCTCCTCCTCCTCTTCCTCCTCCTCCTCCTCCTCCTCCTCCTCCTCCCCCTCCTTCTCCACCTCCTCCTCATAAGGAGGGGACTCCCGCCTGAGACTTCCTCGCAATTCACTCATAGACAAGGCTCCCGCCTGAGATTTCCTCCATATTCAAGCTTGAGGAGCCCAAAAGTGACGACAATTACAGGTTGCCGATGACCCGCTCGGATTACCAACATGATGTGCGGGCCCCATAGGGAGGGGGCTCCCGCCTGAGACTTCCTCGCAATTCACTCACGGACGAGGCTCCCGCCTGAGACTTCCTCCACACTCAAGCTTGAGGAGCCCAAAAGTGACAACAGTTACAGGTTGCCGATGATCCGCTTGGATTACCTACATGAGGCTCGGGCTCCACAAGGAAGGCGTTCCCGCCTGCGACTTCCTCGAAATTCATTCACAGACGAGGATCCCGACTGAGACTTCCTCAATACTCAACCCTGAGAAGCCCAAAAGTGACGACAGTTACAGGTCGCCGATGACCCGCCCCGGATTCGAACATGAAAGGCAAGCCGCATAAGAAGGAGGCTCCCGCCTGAGACGTCCTCGCGATTCACTCACAGACGAGGCCGCCGACTGAGACTTCCTCAATACTCAAGCCTGAGGAGCCCAGAAGTGACGACAGCTATAGGTTGCCGATGACCCGCCTCGGATTCGAACATCAGGTGCGAGCCCCATCGGGAGGGACTTCCCGCCTGAGACTTCCTCGCAATTCACTCACCGACGAGGCTCCTGCCTGATACATCCTCTATATTCCCCCCCCAGGAGGAGGAGGAAGGCAACGAGGAAGAGGACTTCGAGGAAGGAGGTGAGAAGGACAAGGATAATGAGGAAGAGGGGGAGGAACCGAAGGACGAAGAACAGGATATAGGGGAGGTGGAAGAGGATGTGGGGAAACAGGAACCAGAGGAGGAGGAGCAGGGATTGGGGCAACTGAACCCAAAAGTGACAACAGGTCCACGGTTGGGACGACCCGCTCGCATCAGTAACACAAGGTGCGGGCCCCATAGGCAGGAGGCTCCCGCGTTAGACCTCCTCGCATCTCACTCACAAACGAGGCTCCCGCCTGATACTCCCTCCAGATTCAGGCCTCAACACCCCAAGAGTGACGACAGTTACAAGGTTCCGACCCGCTGGGATTACAAAGATGAGGTGCGGGCCCCATAAGGAGAGGGTTCCCGCCTGAGACATTCAGAACTCAGCACCCCACAAGTGACGACAGTTACAGGGTTCCGATGACCCGTTCGGATTAAAATAGATGAGGTGCGGGCCCCATAGGGGGAGGGCTCTCGCCTGAGACTTCCTCGCAATTCACTCACAGACGAGGCTCCCGCCTGATACTTCCCCCATACTCAGGCCTCGGGAGCCCACAAGTGACGACAGTTACACGATCCCGATGACCCGCTCGAATTAC